ATTAAGTAAAGCAAATCATGTCAAGTGGTGATTATTAGGTTTCACCTTGCTTACTTAATGTCACTAATGCAAGACAGGCTCAACTAATCACTGTTGCGGTGTACATAAGCAGACCGTGCAGTCAATCAAAAGGTTTACCTAGAAACCATGGTGAAACATGATTGTGCACCATATATTACTGCAGCACCCTCTGATACAAGCCGTTCAGCTGTTCAGAAATTTAATTAAGAAATAAAAGTGAAATATTCTTGTCATCAATTAAATCTGGGACAGGGGATGGCAGGCTACTGCTGATAGATTGAATGTGCAAATTGTCATCTTTTTCATCAAACAGATTATTTCAAGAGACATACTAAAATTGAATGTGGTGTTTAACCAGTGTTAACTTTGACAACTTTTTAAATGTGTGTTCTTATGAAAATATAAATAAATATGTATTTAATAAAATAGTTTCCCCATGTTATTCTAGTTTGATCATAGTTATAGTTTTAGTCCCATTAATTGTTTTTTAAATTCAGATTTAATCCAATTTTCATCAACAAGAATCTTTCTTGGACAAAAAAAAAAATAAAAAAAAAGTATATTCCAGTTGACAAAATTAACGGCTTTCCCCCACATTTGACTATTTCAGTAACACAAGTGGTGAAATATGCAATATATTCAGTCACTGAAGTAACAGGATACGCTAAGAGCTCACCTTTGCACTTCAGCTCTCTCATCCATAACCACCTCTATAAATGGACAGGCCATTTCTGACACATATGCATGAGAGTGAGGGGGGCTTCTATAGGCTATGGCAATGTTGTTTTTTGTTTTTCACAAATTATTAATATATTTTATTTGATTTATACATTTCATAATTGTGCACATATTTTATTGCACAACATTCATTTCCTGATATGTAACCTATACTGTAGCTTGTTCCCCTTTTTGAAGTCGCCATGCATTTGGGTGAAATGATTGCACTAAATCCTTCTATGACACTTACTCTTCCATCTAGTACCAAATTCAACAAAAAAGACACTTTAGTGTGTTTTTCCCTGAAAGCCCCAGGAGCTCCCAGGTAATAGGAATCCTGGTAAAATCATCACAGTGCTTTGATATTACTCTTGAAATTGTGCAACAATCAGCCTAAGATAAACTGCACTACACATTCAGTCTAGCAGGTGGCGTTAATGCAGTCCTATACAGTAACTGGCCCTGCCTTTAACGTTCCTCCAGTGTCGACCTGCTATAAGAAAATCCCAAAGCTCCAAAAGTTTGACATTTAATTGTCTATGAACCTGCATCTGGCCATAGTTACTTATTAGCTGTATGATTCATTTAAAGATAATCACTAAAAAATAATTTATAGTTATTTTCTTTTATTATAACAACCAGCTACATCTACACAAACAGAACACCTTTTTCATGAAATTTATATAAATATTCATAAAAAAAGCTTTACATGAAAAACCGGATTTATATATATATATATATATATATATATATATATATATATATATATATATATATAACTGTGAAAAAATTTTTTGAAAACATTTAATACATACTTTGGCTACAATGACAAACCTTATGACAAAACATCACATTTTACATTCTGGCACTCACAGTTTTTTTTACAAAATATTTAATGAATTTAATAATAAGAACATATTTAAAGTACAATTATAATCTTGATCTATGCAGATCTTGCTGTGTACATTCCTGCTTAAGCTGTACTTTCCTGCTTAAAAACATATTTAAATGACTTGGTAACATTTTACCATATCCATAATTTATAAATAGTAAAGAGACTATTCTTTAATGATTAATAAATAGTTTATTAATGTGTTTTAATATTTTACAAACTGCACCTAAAACATTCAGAAAAGGTAATTAGGCCATATTGCCCTGCCATGTTGATTCAACCCTAAGCCATATCAGTGGACTTAATATCTGAATTTACCCCTATTTTTTAATTAACTTGCCCCTCTCACGTTGGACATACCCTTACCCTAACATTAGTGAGTGGTATATCTTAATAAATTATATATTCACCTTTTTTAAATGGATTATAAATGAAATAAACATTGATGAACTATCTGTTAGTCCATAATACATGGTCTCTTTACAATTTATGGTCATTAAAAAGTGTAACCAATAACTTTCTAAGGAACACCGACTGACTGCCTGATGTTAAAGCTGCGGTTAGCTGCAGACCACAGTCCGTATCCCAGCTCTGTAGGCATCTCACACTATCCTGAGCTCAGAAGTCTAACCAACCAATCAGCTATCTGGATTTGTCCCTAAATTAAATGAACCTCCACTCCAGGATCACACACAAACAATATTACTATTAGTTTGCATCAGAAAGGCATTGCAGATATAGGAATTTAGTTTAAGAAAAAAACATGATGTAAGGCCTTTTGTTGTTAGTGGCAAGCATCCAATTCAAAGACACATTACCTGAAGTGTTAAGGGGATGGAACACAATTTGATCTCCAAAACCTAAAAAAAGAGTCTTGGGAAATGTTAGAGGTTAAGAAAGCCCACTGCCAAAGGCATGACCAGCTTAACACAGCAATAAAGGGAGATAGCAGTTGTTTATCTGTGTGAGGATAACAAACAATTCTTTCTTTTTTGTCATAATTACATTGTTTACTTATGTTTACCTTGTAAAAAGCTTGTGTGACTTAATTAGTGAGGAATCTGTGTGGTAGTAAACTGTGTCGAAGGCAACGTGCTGGTGTGGTCTTTAAATATTAATAACCTAATTATACACATATAAAAGTGTCCTAAGGTATACCTTATACAATCACTCAGCTGCTTTTGTAATTGTAAAAGGCCTTGGACAGAACTTCACTTACAGCCAGCATGTCTGTGTCAAATGTCATTCCTTTTTTTGTGTGAAATATGGGCTTTAATGTTGACTTGTTTATTGCTTCATGGAAATAGCTTCACAAATTTGATGTGGAATTAAAAAGAAATGCTTGTTGTCTTGACATTATGTTTGCTGATCAGGCAAAATTTCTAACGTAGCCAGATAGGTAGTCAATTGCTGTAGTAACCAACTAGGCCTGTTTGTTTTACTGTACTGTCTTACTGTACAAAATAAGCCAGATTTATGAAACAAACCTCTGGAACTTTGCTTAAAAACTCCATCCTATTCTCATCAAGCCAAACAACTTAGACCCAGGTTGGGTCCCAACAGACTTCAGCAAATTCATTATTCCAAACAGACTTGATTACCTTTTGCATTTTCTTAGAAAGTAGTTTGCTAAAGGTTTGCTAAGGATGAGCCTTATGCTACCTTTTCCTTGGGTTATCATGCCTTGTTTGTCACAGTTCTAGTTGTTTAAACTTAATGATGTCTGTGAATTTAGATACTGGCAAATTTAGAACAGTACCTTTCTTTGTGCCATTTTGTGACTTACCAAGATCAATTCAATACCTTACTCTGCAAAATTTAACATAATAAAGAGACTTAGCGACCCCATTAATAACAAGTACATAAGCCCTTGGGTAGTTTATGAACACTCTTAGAGTTATTAAATAATATTTGGGATTGCAAAGAAAATTTACAATGAAATCATCTGAAAGAACTTTTGAAAAAAAAAATATAATAATAATTATCCCTGCTATGTAAACCGCTATTGAAATTCAAGTTACCCTAGAATGATGTTTAATAAATTGCTGTCAACTTATTTGCCGTGTCAAGTTATATGATGACTTGAGTACATAATGTGCATTTAATCTTTGAATTTTGAAATGTTTCTGATAGGTTACAACTGAAATATATCAGGTTACAAAAATTAAGATCACAAACAAAAAAATAAAACCTTTGGAGACCTCTTAATGTAATGTCTGTTTTTTAACAAAACAAACTTAAAAAGACCCTCTTTCAAGTTGATTCGTGTCAGACAAAGAATATGTTTTTTACCCTTCAGATATAACTAAACTTAACCTAAATATATGACAAAATAGGGAATTGAAAAGCAGAAAATTCAACAATTTAGCCAAAAATATATTGAGGTTGTCTTTTGTTTAGTGAACTTGTCAGTCTCTTACTCGGTTGCAGAAAAGTCCTTGTCAACTTACCTTTGTATAATTTACAACTTTACTGAAGTATTTTTGAGATGTTTTAGTAGTGTCTCTCTACAGAGGCATTGTGGATAATGATAACGCCACCTGTGTCCAAAACACAGAACTGCAACACACTTCTGCTCATTCTTGTAGCTCTCTCTCATACTTGACAAGGTTTTTACTTTAAACTTTTTCTCACATCCACCGAACAGCGCGGGAACCTCTGACCTGAAATAAATTCAGGAAAATAGGCTACAGGTTTATAAATGCATCAGTGCTGAACAGCTGAGGGTGTTATGAAGAGATATTTTATTTACAAAGGCTATTTTATCAAGATTTTTCTGTAAAAGTAAAACGTAATGTCTCTTTTAGACATTATCATTACCAAAGCCCTTCCCAGATTTAATAAGAGCAAAAATTTATTCACACAGTATCTAATTAGATAGTCAAATTAGATAACACAGTCAAATTAGATAACCAGTAAATTGTTTTACTTATTTTTTAAGATGCCGCAGTGGTGTACTTTGTATTTATTAAAATAATTCCCTATTGCTTATTTAACTTTGTGTGATAACTGGTAACATGGCCCAGTCTGTGGTTATTGGTTTTTTATGATTGAGGTTGAAATTTAATTAAGAACCTGATGATAAAGAATATTGTTTTTACTATGTTTTCATATATACTTTCTTTTTAACTTCCTATACTAACTTGACTTATATTGGAAAAAGATCAAAAGAAATTAGTAAATTCTTTTACAGAATAATACAGCCTTATGTCTTCAAATATATCTTGACTTTAAATGTATAACTACTTTTGAGACTTTACTTGAATAAACAGTTATACAAGTGACTAAATAAAGTTAATTAGTCTTTTCAACTTGTATAGGGATGTGTGCATGTTTCGTTTTGTAATCATTTTTCTTCTGTCTTCCTCAGGTTGTCAGGCAGTAATGTTCCCTCTCCGATCGTTAGCAACAAGAACTGGCTCCGACTGCATTTTGTGACCGATAGCAACCACCGTTACCGAGGTTTCAGTGCACATTATCAAGGTACGATGAGACCAAATCGTTTTACATTCTGACACAATCTGCATAACATGGCTGTTTTTGGGTTTTTTTTGCTTAAAAATATATTTCATTTCATGATCGTAATGAGTCTTTTCATCCCTTCGTTATCATTATTTTGCTTCATTTAGTATAGATTGAAATTCAGTCCTGAATTGACTGGAACCCAGTCATTCTTTTTTTCATCTCTCTGCCTCCTATCTCTCCTCCTTTTTTTCACTAAGATTTTTGTTTTCTCCAGAGTAAATCCTTAAAAGCATACAGTTATACTTTTCTTTGATGCATCTTATAAATGGTGAAAATAGTTGGAAATGTATTTGGCAACAGCAACGTCTCCCAACAGCGATAATGAGAAGTGAATTTGCTCTGTGCTGACCAGCTGGAACAGATAGTGTTTTTATTTACACTTCACTTGTAGTTTTTTCTTATTTCCTTTGCTTTCTGATTCAGTCTCAAATGGCCTCTTAAATCAGTGCAGTGCTTAAGTTTACACGGGAATGGATGGTGTCATAGCCTGTGGTGCCCATGCAACACACAAGGTGTGATCAAAATGCAGAATGGGAGAAGAATTACTGGAATCTGATTGAAAGCAGAGTTAGTAAAAGGAAATGTCACCTGGTAATAATAGCTTAGCCCCTTGCATACAGAACTTTCCTTAAGTTATTTCTATTTTGGTTGCAAATCTGCCATTTTTCAAGAGGTTTACAATATCTGGCTCTCCTACAGCTAAGCAGAAACAATCTATAGAGTTAGAAATTGACCTGTATGTGACTGCATCCACCTGAAACTCTCGTTTTACCTATTCCAATTTCTATAGTCTATGTATTTACTTTCACGAATGACTTTTCTATAATTTAATAAACCTGCCAACAGAAGTGTCAAAACAGTTGAAAGTACTGATTTCATTTAGTCTGTTATATAATGTGAGTGCCTATCTCCGTAGCACCATTTTCCTTAAACATCAGTGTATTTTTATTTTAGTGTGCTCACTCTCTCTCTTTATGTGTGTGTGTCTCTCTCTCTCTCTCTCTCTCTATAACACACACACACAAACAGTAATTATAACCTTTTGCTCATTTCTAAAGGCTGCTGCCAGCATCTTAATGTCTTTGGGCTTATATTAGTCTTCGCACATGTATAAGTCAAGTTCTCCTTCCTAATCTTCTCTGACATGAAAATTTGGTGCATGAGTAACCGGCTTTTGAAGTAGAAATTAGCAAGTAGAGAGATTGACACGAGCCAACTCAATCCTGAAATGGTGCTTAAAATGCTTGTAATCCAGAACCTATTTTACAGAAGACAGAAGCTTGAAGAAGCTTTTATCTCTAAACTTTTTTTTTCACAATTTTTAATGTGACAAACTCAAATAAGTGTTTTTTTATGTTTTTTTTTATTTTTTTTCATGTTGTCTAAATCATAAACGCAAAACAATAAGAAATTGTAAAAATAGAAATAAAATTATAGTATGTATAACTATTTGTTCTAAAATAAAAATCCACAAATTGTGGCCAGTATCTGAAGCTTTCAACATGTCACAGAGTACTTTCTGATCCATAAGCATCAAAATAGAAAAAAAAAAAAATTATGCCCCTGTAACTGAACGAAAACATGGCAGTCCACTATTGGCTGCATCTCACTAGTCAGAGATGCAACCAATAGTAATTTGAGTGGAGCTGCTGCGATCGTTATCTCAGATATAAGAATTTGTAGAGGAGTAACTTTTTATCATAAATTCCTCAACTCACACCTTTTTTTAAATAGAGTGACAAGAAGAAAGTTTGTCTTGAAAACAAGTCATAAGAACTCCTGCATACAGTAAGCTTCAAACCATGCAGTGGCAATGGCAGATATTCTGGAATAAGGTGCCTTGGACAGAAAAGAGCAAGGATGAGCTTTTGCCCACTTTGCAAAATGTTAGATAATGAAGGAAACTAAGGCTTTACTTCACCATCAAAGCACCATCCCCACCTAAACATTTGACGGTGGCAGCTGTAGAATATCTTTTCCTCAACAGAAAGGTGGAATTCTGGTCATAGTTTAAAGATAGATAAACAGAACTAAAACAGAAATTTTTTTAAGGTAGACTTGTTAGAGGCTGCAAAAACTTTAGACGAGGTTAGCAGTTCATCTTCCAGCAGGACATCAACAGGAGATCCAGGCATCCGGCCCCACATATGAAATACCAGAACAATATACCATGCCTGACAAGATCACAAGACAGGCAATGCAAAGGGGCCGCAAAAACAATCTATCTTCTCACAACAGGTTTCTAGATACTAGTAGAAAAGGAATGCATCTAATGTTATAACCAAGTGGCCTGTATAGTGTACAGAAACATCTATGAAGAATAGGACCTGGAGATCCCAAAGTCTAAATGGGAGCCACCTCCCAAGGTGGTGGAGATTGACAGAGGTCAGATCCTGAAGGAATTCTGGATACAAACAGACAAAATGATTGTGGCCAACCATCCGGACATTGTGATCATTGATAAGCAGCAGTGAACAGCTGTAGTGAATGATGTTGCCATCAAAAATGATGGAAAAATCAGGAAAAAAAGAACATGAGAGACTGGGAAATACTCAGGGCTCAGGGAAGAACTTGAGAGAGCCTGGAAGGTGAAGGCATGGTCATTGGAGCACTGGGGCAGTAAACCCCTCACTGTAAAAGTGCCTCTAACAGATACCTGGAGAAACATCAGACATCTCAGTCCAGAAAAGCACAGTACAAGGAACAGCTAAGATAGAGGACCAGAGCTCAAGGTGAATAAGGAACCCACTCCACACAGCCGTATGAGGGGTGGGTGACAGAGCAGGGTTTTTCAAAAACAAGCAAAAAAAACCCCACAAATAAATAATGGTATTCAGAATAGTCTTCCAGAAGTTTTAGAGACATAATTAATTATTCCCGAACCAAAACAAGAGGATAATGCTGTGCTCAGAAGGAGTGAGAGAAAATGTAATTAATACTGATTTGATTATCCATCTCATATCTTTCATTGAAGTGTTCTTGTCATGCTAAGTGGTGTGTAAACCATCCATGGATGAAATTTTGATTTCTTCAGGCTGTTTGACCATCCAATCACAGACCAGATTCAGTGGCGCATCAGATGTTTGTAAAGTGAGCTTCTCATGAGTGACAGCAGTACCAGCCAATCACGCAAGAAAAGACGGTGGGCCAATCAGAAGCTTATGGGCGGTCTAAACCCAGGAAAGTTGGCTACAGTTTGATCTGCGGTTTTCTGCTTGGTCCTAGTGCTTGACGAATGTCTGTGCACTGTACCGTAACATTGTTTTTGGACAGTAAAATGTGCAGGGGACCAAAACGGACATTTGAAAAAGTGCAGGGGACATTTACAATTCACACATTTTGTTTGCTTTAAATAGACCAGAGTTTGTTTGCACCTTTAGTCTGGACCCTAAAAATGAGAATAAAGTCAAATGAACTCTGGACTGAACCAAACAACCAGACATTGCTCTTCTTTTTGACGTGGTCCTGATGTGCTTCCAAACTGACTCTGGTGCAGTTCACTTCAAGTATGAATATAAACCGCCCATGGTCTAACCTAAATGCAGACAGCATACAGGTGCTGGTCATAAAATTAGAATATCATGAAAAAGTAGATTGATTTCAGTAATTCCATTTAAAAAGTGAAACTTGTATATTATATTCACACATTACATACAAACTCATATATTTCAGATGTTTATTTTGTTTAATTTTGATGATTACAAATGACAACAAATGAAAATCTCAAATTCATCATATCAGAAAATTAGAATATTGTGAAAAGGTTCAAAATTGATGGCCCCTGGTGCCACACTCTAATCAGCTAATTAACTCAAACCACCTGCAAAAGCCTTTAAATGGTCTTTCAGTCTAGTTCTATAGGCTACACAATCATGGGGAAGACTGCTGACTTGACAGTTGTCCAAAAGACGACCATCGACACCTTGCACAAGGAGGGCAAGACACAAAAGGTCATCGCTAAAGAGGCTGGCTGTTCACAGAGCTCAGTGTCCAAGCACATTAATAGAGAGGCGAAGGAAAGGAAAAGATGTGGTCGAAAAAAGTGTACAAGCAAGAGAGATAACCGCACCCTGGAGAGGATTGTGAAACAAAACCCATTCAAAAATGTGGGGGAGATTCACAAAGAGTGGACTGCAGCTGGAGTGAGTGCTTCAAGAACCACCACACACAGACGTATGAAAGACATGGGTTTCTGCTGTCGCATTCCTTGTGTCAAGCCACTCTTGAACCACAGACAGCGTCAGAAGCGTCTTGCCTGGGCTAAAGAGAAACAGGACTGGACTGCTGGTGAGTGGTCCAAAGTCATGTTCTCTGATGAAAGTAAATTTTGCATTTCCTTTGGAAATCAAGGTCCCAGAGTCTGGAGGAAAAGAAGAGAGGCACTTCATCCACGTTGCTTGAAGTCCAGTGTAAAGTTTCCACAGTCAGTGATGGTTTGGGGTGTCATGTCATCTGCTGGTGTTGGTCCATTGTGTTTTCTGAGGTCCAGGGTCAACGCAGCCACATACCAGGAAGTTTTAGAGCACTTCATGCTTCCTGCAGCTGACCAACTTTTTGGAGATGCAGATTTCATTTTCCAACAGGACTTGGCACCTGCACACAGTGCCAAAGCTACCAGTACCTGGTTGAAGGACCATGGTATCCCTGTTCTTAATTGGCCAGCAAACTCTCCTGACCTTAACCCCATAGAAAATCTATGGGGTATTGTGAAGAAGAAGATGCAATACACCAGACCCAACAATTCAGAAGAGCTAAAAGCCACTATTAGAGCAACCTGGGCTATCATAATACCTGAGCAGTGCCACAGACTGATCGACTCCATGCCACGCCGCATTGCTGCAGTAATACAGGCCAAAGGAGGCCCAACTAAATACTGAGTGCTGTACATGCTCATACTTTTCATGTTCATACTTTTCAGTTGGCCAACATTTCTATAAATCCTTTGTTTTTATTGGTCT